GTGCCCACAGTGCTTTCCTGTTAGCAGATAATCCTTTCTAAAGAAACACTTAAAATGAGRCAAGCAGAGCCTTGCCAGCCATGGCTATAAGAGCTCAAACTCAGAGCAAATCCTGTTTCAATACATGTGGGCAGTAGCCTGTTCAGTGGGATCTCACTGGTACTGGTGGGTTAGAAAGGGAAGCTTCAGTCTGTAAGGAAAAGCAAAACCAGGGTGAAGATCCAGTAGGAGGTTGTCCTTTTTTCTGCTGGTGAGAGATAGTGCCCTAGCCTGGGATGTCACAGGCTCTGTGGTGTGGCCCTTGGGGATGCATTTGTACAAATCTCAAAGGCTTGGGTAAGATGCAGAAAACAGTGCTTGGAACTGTCCCCTGGAAAGCAATTCAAAGGTTGGCACAGGTCACTTCAGTCATGGCAGTAACTTCAAATAGCACAGTCTTGTCACCAGGTTTGTTGAACAACTTGTTCTGCTTTTATGCYCCCTTTAGAAGTTTTCTTCTGCATGTAGTTTGCGCACTGCAGTGARTGCTGCAAACTGCTGGGAGTAGAATCACTCACACTTTTGTTGTCTGCAGGATAGCAGGAATTGAGCATACAGGGTAAAAACTGTTCCTGTTCTCTCTCTTACAACTGCTTTAACCACTGTGTTTGATTACTTAAAATAACATCTGTGTAAGAAAAGGTAGAAATGAATCAGAGCATAATGCAAAGGATATTTGGCTTGCAAACCAGTCAGCGAGCATTCTGAAAGACCTGATGTACATTTGCCACATGGAGCCTTGAGCTATTAGTGGCACTGTTTTCACCTACCATTGCCTTGATAACACTGGCACGCAACCTCTTTTGAAGTGGTACTTGGTAAGCTGAAACCTGTGGTTTGCCCTTGAAAATTAGGTGTCATTTTCTTATGCCCTTGCTTTGAAGAGTTTATGAATGCATAGCTATTTACACACAGCAGTTCTCTGATGCAGGGTCTCTAGATTTTACTGAGTCACGTAAGCAAGAAACTTCAAAAAGAAAGTCTTTGCAGTGAAACTTAACAGCTTGATGCATTACCGCCTGTTGGAGGGACAGCACCTAGTGAGCTGGTGTTAGGAATTAATCTTGTAATAACTGTGCAGCAGTACTGAAGCAGGTTCATTCCTTCAATAAGAAGGGTCTTTTTGGAGGTGCAGTGTGACATTTCTGCAGAATGGCCAGGAGTACTCAGTATCTTAGCAGGAACGGCAGGAAATTTGCTACACAGGAAAAGAAACCAAAGAGGTTTGACAGCACAGTCAGCAGGAGAGGCAGGAGAAAAATGAGCTCATTGGCGGTCTGCTCAAGGCAAGTGATGAGGATCGTAATTGAATTGCAACATCAAAGCGCCAAGAGCTGTTGCTACAGCGGTACCATGGCTGGAAAGTGCTGGTGCCTTCCTGAGCTCTTCCTCTTCTGTCCTTTTTTCTGTATTTCTCTTAATGTTTGCCTGGCACAGGGAGCATTTTGCAGCATATATATTTCTACTTTGCTTGTGCAGTATCCACCACTGTGTTTATGGCCGCTAATGTTTTTACAAATGAAAGCTTTAAGTCTTTAATTTTTTTTTTAGTGCTCATAATGGCTTTTACTTTGTCACTGGCATCTTTTCTTTAACTGTGACAGCCAACAACACGCTTAAGCAAACTTCAATGCTTTTGTTTTACATCCTGACCTTTTGCAATATGACTGTTCCTGTTTCAATCACGGACAATGTTCTCCTTCAGTGGCAGAGAATCCAAGCTATAATAATTGTATCAACAAAGATCTACTTAAAGAGCAGAACTGGGGAATTTAGGAAGGCATTTATCTGCAGTGGTTAGTCACTGGCTGAGATAACTGCTGCTTATTTYGCTTAGAGCTGCCAGTGAAGAGGGATTGCAGTTGGAGAGAAGGAAGCCGGAATGCACTTGTATGTGGTGCTGAGCAGCCCTTGCTGTCTGTGGGGCTCCTATGACAGGGATGGCTCCAGTTGCCTGCAGGGTGCTTGAGCAGCCTGTTGTAACAGGGCTGCATCACCCTCTGTGCATCCACGGTGCATTTCACACTTGAATATCAGAGGTGCTAAGGAGCTTGCAGGAATTCAGGGTAGCTAAGGAAGCTTGTTCTGAAATGTTGTTTATTTTCCAAAATTCTGCAAAAGCTTCAAGAGCATAAAACAAATTGCGAACAGTTTGTAATATTTTGTCACCTGAAATTTTATGTTGGTATTAATTCATTTGCTAGAAAGCAGTATATGTGCATAGGTCTTCAGTGTAGTCCAGCTGGCTGAAAGATGCAAATGGAAATGCAAGTCAACCATGGTATTAATGCTGCACTTAGTCACTGAAACAGTTAAACAGAGTAGATCCAACTTGTGTARAGTCAATGATCCTTGAACACATTAGCCTTGTATCATTTGTTATCATCCAGTATTGGACATCACAGTTTATATTCATGAAAGTGAATATATGTTTTATATTGCTATTCATGAAAAATGAGTAACCTATAGCAAGAGTTCCAATTTCTCTAGATGAAAGAAATGATGAAAATCTTTCATCTGATCAAGCCAGAATCCATTTGGAAATAAAAACATCACAGGAAAAAGGCTACTCAAAAATGAAATGGTAGCAGAAAGAAATTTTGCAGTGTGTGTGGAGGGGAACTTATCAGCAGTTTTCATTTGTTATGAGTAGATGTGTTAAAAATGTGGGTGATTGTGTTCTGCTGAAAACATGGTTAAACTTCTTTAATGCCCTGGTAAATCTGCAAATAAGAGACTTCTCCATGCTCCAGGCTGAAAGAGTGAGCAAAGAGTTCTGCAATTACTTAGTCATTAGGGGAAAATTTAACCAATAAATGTTACTAAAAATGTTAGAAACTATTCTTTAAAAGCTGGTTTGGGGTAAGTAAAAATCTCAAGACGGAAATGAGAATAACATTGAAAATGCTAGTGACCAAAGAGTGTGACTACAGCTTAGTTTTTGCTTGTTTAAAAGGATGAACTAGTCTGGGTTGTGAAAGTCCATGGCAGCCTTGTCTGGGATTGTAGAGCTTAAAACACTCCAAGTGGGCAAGACAAATATTCTTGCGAGATCTGCTTGGCCAGTCTCCTAGACAGCAAAGTGCCTTTTTGCCTAGGTGTTTACTGGGAAGGTCTGCCCTAGGCCATGAAGTGTTATCCACTGCAGAGGACAGAGCCAGGGGGCATCTCAGCCAAGAGAACACCYTCATACATCAGCACAGGTTAAACCCCAGCTGTACAGGGAACTTCCCAGAAGGTAGCAGGGCACAAGCTGGCCCTGCAGCAAGGAGGCCAGGTGCTTTATGGACCTGAACAGCAGAAGGGCACCTAGCAGGTTGATGCAAGTGATGACTACCCTGCTACTTAGCATTTGGGAGACTAGAGGACTGGGTTCAGCTTTTTGCTCCTCTGAGAGGGATCCTGATGTACTGGAACGATCTGGGATTGCYAAGTTGACTAGAGGCTGGAGTATGTATGAGAGGAACATGAGGAAACCRGTTTCCTTTTGTGAGTGCTGAGGGTACACAGCAGTGAGTGCTTAGCACACTCAGCAGCTTGCACATGTGAGGATATCGTGAAGACCRGCTCTCAGGTGTGCAGTAATTAAACAAGAGACAATCATCCTAAGTTGCAAAATGAGGAGATTCCAATTTGGGAAATGTTTCTATAGATTTCTTTAAGAATGAGAGCTAGTTGCACACTTATGTTTTCTAGGAGCTGTTGTGAAATCTCCTTCTCTGGAGATGGTCATAAGTTGACTAGATCTCAGTGGACCCATTGTGAACATGGGAATGGATCAGCAGACTTCCAGACATCCCTTCCAATCTAAATTATTCTACAGTTATTACCAAAATATAAAGATCTGAATATTTTAGGCCTTTCCTGTATTAAAAGCATTTCTTACCTGATAACACTTCTGCTTGACTTCAGTTGCTTTAGTTATAATTTACTCAATGTATTTTCTATGCTGTAAAGCAGATGTGGGGAAATCTCTACTTCACAGTACTTCACTGCTGCAGGGATGAACAGTGATACTGCCAGTTCCAGTGTACCACATTTAGAGTGACAGCACCCCAGTACCATTGGGTAYGTATGCCCATGCTTAAAAGGGAGAGTACAGTGCAGGGTTATAGCATGTCCATTGCTGCTTTTTGAAGCTTGCTSCTCAAGGCAAAGCAAATACTTTCTTTTTCTAAGACAAATCCTATGCTAGGGAAGCTGTGGCTGTTTTTAAAATGGAGGAGGTAAAAAACAGGAGGTAAAAGGAGGTAAAATACTTTGGACTCAGGGGGCTCAGTTTGGTACACAGGTGACATGTAGCAATTCCTGTTACACAGAGATCTAATGGCCTTAAACTCTGAATATGAAAGAGCAGTAAATGACAACAGCGCACAATCCTTAACTGGCATGATGGAAATGAAAAGCTGTTTACTATCCTCATGTAATCCTACCTTGCTTAGATAATTTATATAAAAACTTCTGCAGAAACGTTGCTCAAGAGGATTTGAGGGGTCTTGCCACCTGCCAACATTTTAGCTGGACCAAATCTTAGCACTTCAGATTTTGGCAGTTCTGTATGTAGCACAGAAGTTTAATTAGTGCCTTTAGTGTGCCAGTGCAGCGCCTTTATGCTGGAAGAAACTTGGGAGAATAAAGGAGAGGTGGTGCTCCTCCATCAAGCTCTCTGGGGTTCTTGTGTTCCATGGGGCTGCCGGTTTGGTGGCTGGCGAGCTGCAGGAGGGAGCTCTGCAGCAGTCTCTGACTTCAGTGGCCAACAGTTCCAGGTCTTGCTTCATCGCTGCTGACAGGATAAATGGCTGCTGCTTCGTGTACCACTAAGCTCATTTAAATGCATAAAAGCTTTAAATAAAATTTTATAGCCTGAGATGACAATATTGATTCCTATGTACTAAAATATACTTTATTAAATACCAAAATATTTACCCTCTGTCATCAAATACATTAACAGGATTTGCTCAAATGGATAAATGTACTTTTTAATGTTTATGTATGTTTGTATTTCTCAGTTCTATTTTTTGAAAGGCTTGCATCATGTTGTGACAAGTCCAAGTTTTTATGTAAAATAAGACAAAACTCCCAAAATTTTACTATAAAACTGTTGCATTAGCTACTCTTGCATGCCTACAGATCTTCATCTTTTTCTAACTGAGGATGTGTGAACTCATGCGAATTCTAGGTATCTCACTGAATGATCACTTCCCACTCCTGCCTTCTGTCAAACATTTTCTATCCTATCTTTTAAAGGCTGGAAGAGAATAAAGATGCATTATTTATTTTAGGCATTGGCATGTGACAAACCCTTCTGCAGCTCTGCTGCTACCTCTACTGTTAGTTTCACTTGCAGCTGCAAGTTGCCTGGAAGCCTGTCCATAGGGACCTGCCCCACTTCCCTAGCTGGGTCCACAGAAGTGAAGAGCAGGATCACTGGGTGTCCCAAGTGCTGTGCACTCCTGTGTGCTTTGCCTCAGACTCTCCTGATCTGTTGATAGCTGGACCTTCCATCTTTCCATGGAATTTCAATTATAGTGTCTTGGTGCACTAAATCTATATTGAAGGTTCCTAGTGCTAAAGCTCAGTGGAGAGCTGATGTGCATGGGTGCTCCTGTCTGAGCACTTGTATTCAACTTTTTTTTTTTATAAAAAGCTCTTTTAAATGTGTAGGTGTAAATATTTTTCTTGATTATGAGCAACTGACCACTCTGAGCAGCAGTTCTGTTCTGTGATTAGCACTGTGTTGCCAGGGWCTTGAATAGTTCTGCTAGGTAAATTGTTACCTAGTGGGAGATAATGCCAGAGTCCTGTCTTGCACATCCCGAATACACAGTTTCAGCAAAACAGCAAAGAAGTATCCAAGTTAAACTGTGAAATTAAATAAATTAGCATATTTGCTGAAAACAATATGAAACAACAGGTGATCTATAACTTCCAGAGATGAAATGAACCAAAAAGAAAGGATACAACCCTCCTTATGGATTCAGTGAAACAATCAGCTGTTTCTGACACAATGGCTAGTCCCTGTCAGCACTTTGCTGATTAACCTTCCATGCAGAAGACAGTGGACTGCTCAGTAGTTTCTTGAATATGTGACTTTGCCAGGAGGGCTCCAGGGAGAAGGTGCTTTTTCTGCAAGGATGGCCCYGAGTTTCCTTTGCTTCTTCTCCAGCTGCTCTTTCCTTTCTTTCTTTTCCTATGAATAAGAAGTTGTGTCAAAGAAAAGTTCCAGCAATGTAAAAACTATTACTGTTACACCTTTCTTGTGTAAAACCAGAAGTTAATGTGCAAAGAGGATTTGCCTTTTAAGGATGCCATCATATGCAGTTCAGTTCAATATTATACATTTGTTGTCCTTTAGGATTAAGGTGACTGTTCCAAGGATGAGCTGGTTTTGAGCACTATCAAACAAGAAGCACACTGGAACCCATAGAAGAATAGCTAATGTATTTGTTTTGGATACAGTTATTTTCATCATAATTCTTTCTCTCCAGTTTAAGAGGGTACCTACATCGGTATAAAATACGTTCTCATTATGTTTGATAATTGGTGTAACTTTCTGTACTTACTAAATCACACTTCTTATATGCTAGAATACATCAAGAAGTGAACAACTTAATTATAATTAAATATCTGATTTATGTTACTAAGTATTATACAGGTCTAATGGCATTTTCTGTTTTGAACAGCAATGGGCAGTTATGATGATGGATAAGCAAAATAATTGCAATTTTTTTTTCTCATTAATGATTTTCAAGAGACCCATTACTTGAAGCAATTTGCGATTATTTACAATTCTCCTTCAACTTTTAGATGGAACTGTTCTAAACAAAATAAGTATTCTTCAGAAAGAGGAGAGCTGTGTTTTAGCCATGTGCACCAGTATCTGAGAGTTACCTGATCATCAGCAGTCCAGTATAGTGGAGGGTAGGCTCTCTAGGTGCAAAATTGCCTCAGGTCATACTCAGAGGGCTGTGATGCAGAACTGGCACCTGTCACTCCCAGGACTTTCTCTGTGGGTGGCATCAAGGCTGCTCCTGGGTAGCAGGGCCTCAGCTGGGGTGCCCCATGGACCAGGGGGCCTGGGCAGCCACCTGCCTGTGCCTGGGCAGCACTCGCCTCTGCCACCACTGGCCCCAGTCCCAGTGGTGGTAACAGTGCAAGGTACGCAGGCCCTCTTAGGTATAGTCTTGGAACGTAGTCAGTCCTAGAAACACAATGTGCCAAACCCAAACATGATCCTTGCCTCCCTAGGGCCCTACCAGACAATATTTTGAGGCACCCCAAAAGTCCTGTGTTTTCACATGTACAGACTGCATTCCAGTACTGTTCCTTGAAGGGGAATCCTTAAGATAAATGGCACTCTCAGATAATCCATGTCTCTATGCCTTTGATGGATGTTCTCTCCAGAAAACTGCCGTAGTGCAGGTAGCTGTGCCTGCATGTTGCTCATAAGGGAGAAGAGAAATAAGGTTACTGCAGCTAAGGGGGCAGACTGGCAAGTGGGGGTAGATGTCTCATTGTGTTTTTTCCCTTGCATTGTGTGCATGCACTATTCACAGTGTAGTAATACTAGTTTTACATTACACTGCAGATCCATGCAATATATAATAGAACAATCTGAACCATCAACAGCAGCAGTCTTTGTTAACATAAACCAGAAGATCCACTTTAGTTATGGGTRTCTGAGCTGGCTAGGTGAACATAAAGCTACTTCATGTAGTAAAGCTGATAATAACAGGGCAAGGTTTGTATGCTTTTATTAAAACAAGCGATACCGCCCTTTATCAGTTGGTCTAATAAGATTTTATAGGGAGATATAATCTTTTACCTTCCTCTGTTACATAAGATAAATTTGCCTCAGCCCTGTGAGATCCTTACTTTCTCTGTCATCTTTCACTTGAATTTTCCTCATTCTGTCCTATGGCTTGTCCTTAGATGAATCTAACTAATGGCTTTGGGTCTTCAGAACACATTCAAGGTGCCCCTTTGGAAAATTTTTAAGGGAATAGATCAGTGCCCTAGGAGGGAAAGCAAGCTGCATTATSACTATTTTTCAAAAATGAAGACAAAATGTGCAAGCAGTATAGATGAGCTTTGGAAGAATATATGCACTATATTAGAAAACCTATATGATTCACGTTTCTATTTGGAGTATTTGCATGTATTCTGCAAATTTATTTTTATAAAAATTAGTCATACTCTACCCCTCTTAGAATCTGAATCTGTATTTGACATTTAAAAGTGGGACTTMCTGTAGCAGTATTGGCATTAACTTGAAAAAGTGTATGACAAAGAAGTGTGCATATTTTACATTTATAGAGCACTGGTCTATTGGATACATGTTCCACACTATAGTTATGCTGAAATATTCCAGAACAAAAATAAAGCATATGCCCAGGCAGTGAAAGTTGCTTTTGGACTTTAATTATGTCACAATTCTCAATGTTCAAATCAGAAACATTCTGATTCAATGTTTGAGTTTAAATCCCAATTTTTCATGTACAGATTCCAATGCCAGGCAAATAGTCATGCTTTAATTTATCTGGGTTTACGACTTCTTACCTCCAATACGCAAACTCTTCATGTACTAGTGCTGACCACAATTCACCTATCTGATTGAAATCTTCCCTAAAATAATGAACAAGAGAGTGTGTGCACATATAGGAAAAGTGTAGCAAAAAGGATGAAAGAGGYAAACAGCTGTAGTTCGTCACACACTAGGTAACTTTGTTGCTTGGCCTCTTCCTCTACTGGGAGTTCTTTCCCAGTCCTACTTCAAGGAGACAAGGAATAGCCTGGTAAGATGAACAACTTTTTCACTTAAAAAGTCCTGAGAAGTTGATACTCTTTAGCAGTATGACTGCCACATAGTAATTGAGTTTTGGCTAGTACAGACGCCTCAGAACATTTAAGAGGAATAATAATGGACAAACTTCTAACATATTGCAATGCCAGGAGATTAAAATTCCAATATAGAAAGTATTTTCAACTAGATCTTATTAAACCACATGAAATGAATAATTCAGCTCAGCTGTTTCTAGTCCCYAAAAAGCAACAAATCACTGAGGCTCATCCAATACAACTTCTGCATTGATTTCCTGATGTTTTTAATAGCTTTAGGACGTCAAAACCAGGTATTGATCATGTTCAACCTCAAGGTAGAGTTGAAACTTTTTACAGGGTGCCTAACCTTACTATATTATTCAGAATTATAAATCTGAAAGAATGCACAGTGCCCATTATTTTCATCARTGCATTATCAGGTTAATGATTACTGCATATAATGGAGAATATGAACAAATATGTAGGATAATAGCACTTTTTTTTCCCGAGGGTTGTTACAGAAAAAAATAGATTARCATTTTAAAAATTATAGAAAATAAGCTGGCTGGAATAAACTTCCTGCTGTTTTTTTATCGCCTTCCACTCCACAGAATAGGTGCGTGTCACTGAAAAGTGTCAGACTGGTATGTATTAAATAAAAAGTGGTGATTTATCAAGTGTTACATCTTGATGGGCTGGAAGAGTGCTTGGTGAATAACAAGACAAATGCTTGCAAACAAAATAAGTCAGAAGCTTAAATATTCTTAGCCAGACTGAAATTTTTAACTCAAGATTATCCTTTGTGTGTTTTACAARTGTTAATAACCTTTTTCAGAGAATTTATTTCCATGCCTTTGAAAGGCTTTACACAATGCAGTTATGCTATCAAGCATTCACAATGACCTCCAAGAGCACAAACAACAGTTGCCATTAACACAAAATGTTACCAATGTTTTACAAGTACTATAGCACGGTCATATTTGAACTTGTTTTACCCATAGGTTTTGACAAACATCTGCTTCTGGAAAGTGAAGAATTAATTCACACATTTATTTCTATTTACTGGTAATGAAAAYATTCTAGAACTCTTCCTATTATGTTACTCTTGCTTTGATAATGTTCCTTTTCAAAAAAAAAAAAAAATCTTATTTGGAAAAAAGCCTTCTTCCTTTCTCCCTCTCAGAGTTGATGCCCATTGATCCTCCGCAAATACCATCTTAGATCTCTTGATAATAAATTGACAACATTACTTACACAAGTGTTTTTCTCCTGCAGTTAACTAAAGTATGTTTTTCTCCTATTMCTATAGGAACTTAAATAATATTCTGATGAAAGAATACAATATAATAAAAAGATGCCCAATATACTGTTTCAAACAAAGGCATATTAGCAGAGGGTACAATTTGAAAGTTTTAAGATTTGGTGTGGCAAGTGTCAGTGAACTTATCTTATGGGGGTGAGCACTCTCACTTTCCCATAGTCATTGAAAAAGAGGTCATTTTAGCAATACTTCTGCCCAGCAGTTGGGTACCTTCCACATCTTCCACCATCTTGTTTTTGTTTTTTTGTTTTGATTTGCTTGCATAAGCAAATCGAGGATGATCTTTGCACGGGGAGCGCACGCAGGCAAAGTGCTCACATGGTACTTACATCACAGTACTTCTCTCTTTGGATGTATTAGCACCCAAATGTTGACTATTAAGAAATAATCTAAGATTGGATACTGATCATTGGATGAAACTGGAAATTACTTTATAAGGGGAACCAGAGAAAACAGTTCTCATCCATGACTACAGTGATCAAAGGCGTTTGAACAAGAGGTCAGGTCAAATAAGACTGAAGCCTAAGATCTGGCTTAAAAGAAAGAAAGAAAAAGGAAAAGATGGATAAGCTGTTGTTGTTTCAGGTAATGATGCTTGGTTTCTGAGTTAGTGTAATAAAAGATGATTTTTTCTTTTTAAATCTACCCCAAACTTGTAGGTCTGTTTGCTTCAGTTCTCATCTATCCATGGAGAGCAAAGAGAAAGCTCTCTTTGCTCTGGAAAAAGATTTTTCTAAGTTCTYGACAATATAAATGAATCTTAGTAAGGGCCCTTCACCCAGCTAGATTGCAAGATCCCATTTTATGAAAGGCAACAGAAACCTTACGCACAGGAGGTATGCCAGAAAGTGCAAGGAAGACACAACAGAAGAAACATTCAAACCCAGAAAACCTTGAAAGCTGCTATGATGAATGACTCCATGGTGGGGTGAAGATGAAAAGCTCATTTTTGCTTTACCTTGCAAGTTACATCTTTTTTTTATGAAAGCAGCATAAGCTAAGAATATAAATGCTCTTCTAGTTTGTCTATAGCATGGAAAGATTTCTGCATTACTGTTGGGACTTGACTACTAGATTAGGTTACTGCCTCATAAGTAGGAATAAAGTATGGTGKTGCAAAAATAATAAAATCAGGAGCTTGAGAGTTCAACTCTTTCTATTAAAGGGAAATAATCTCAACATTAACTGCTTTAGCCTATTTTAAGTCATTATATTCTCCATTCTAAATATTTCCTTAAACATAAATTGCCCTGACTCCTCACTTCTGCTGTTGGTGCTCTTGCTAATACTGTGCTGGGGGAAGTGGGCTCTTCTGAGACGGTTGTTCCTGACATGAAACTGGAAATAAGCTGACTATCAAATGCAAATCTCAACAGCACATAGGTAGGAGAGACATATTTTCCACATATTCTACTTATCAAGCACACTSTACCATCATTCTGCTCAGGAAAATTTGGGAACTTTTTACATAATACTGCCATCAGCTGGTCTCTTTCTTAAAAGCAAGAAAATAGCCAAAGACTATAAAACAAAGTATAAATGCTCATTCCTCCTCATTAACCTTTTTGATTTTAATGAAGTGGAAAAAAAGGTATTTACCAGCCATTTTTCATATTCTTCCATAGCCCTTTTATCTTTTTCTTCTTTCTTCACCTGCTGCATTTCTTGCTTTCTTCTCTCTAGGATTTTTTCTACCTTCTTTTGTTTTATACATTCCTCCTTTTTTTCATTCCTGCATGACAGAGGACAACAGGAAAGCATCACTCGACAAGCTARATGCTGTATCTTTAACCAATTAACCAAATGGAGTACAGTAAGAAAGATATTTTATGCATTTGAAAATAGATGGCAAATATTTGGGAAAGAAAGTCGTAAAAATCTTCAAAGTCTATCTTGATATATTACATTACCAAGGTATACATGAACCTACTATCTATTACAGCATCATCTTTTCGTACTACTCTCTTCCTTATTTTCTACCAGATAAAAATAGATTTAAAAGTAAATTGTGTCCATGCTCTAAAACTTGYACTAAAAAAAGAATTCCTCCAGCAGACACATACATCTGCTTCTGAATATACCTAGGTTCATCCACGCTATTGCACAGAGCCCAAATAAAACCTTAAGGAAGGTTTATTGTCCTTCCTAAAGCTCGGTATTGAATTAGGAACCCAATCATATAGACATTATGACACTCCATGACACTTGCTATGCTGCCCATTGACTCTTGCAGTATGTGGCTTGTGGGGAAAGCAAGCATTTGAGTTACAGGACTGGAAGGGCTGCGCAGCCTGTTCTYCTTGCTCCGCCTGTTCTCCCTTGGGAGCACAACACCTGATCCCAAGTGTGCCTGATYTCCCCACCACAAACACATGGAACACTCACAAAAGACGTAGTGCCTGTAAGCAAAGGTCTGGGAAAATTATTTTAGTGCAAAAMCCAATGTGATGATACCATCTTTCAACTGCAGACATGCTGTCTCTCTTCTTTTCTGCAATTAATTCCTCTTCTTTTTTCTTCCTGATTCTTTCAGACTGTCTCTCTTTTCTATTCAGCTCTCTTAAGTATTCTACTTTCCTCTCTTTCCATTTTTCAAATGCCTAGAGAAAACAGATTCATTAGCAATCTTACCTCTCACATTTTTGTTGATACCCTCCTTGCTTATTCTGTGATACAATATTTCTATAGCTTACAGATTTGGAATAGTTATTTGTAGCACTGCTCAGAAGCTGATATCACTTATGAAAGGGATTATAGTGACTATATATCASTATATAAAAAGGATCACATTATTTTTTCCCAGAAAGTAATATAGTTCTTTGTAAATGTRTTTATATAGAATTTATTTTACATTCAACTCATAATACTGAAAAATGAAAAAATGCCTATTCATCGTGCAAAACTAACTGCTATTCATTTCCAACACAGAAGTGAATCTGCTGTGAACTCTCCACMAAAATGAAATATGTTCAGATTTTAGAATTTTGTTTGTTTCCATCTCTTGCTGGATTAATTAAAAAAAAATTCTCAACAATTTCCTGAACAATATCAGGTGTTTATTTATCAATTTCACATTACCTTCTGTGCTGCTTCTCTCTTCTCCTCATTCTGTTCTGCCACTCTCTTTTTATTCAACTCCTCAAGCTTCCTTTTTTCACTTAATTTCTTTGCTGCTCTTTCTTTCATTGCTTTCCAGGCTTCAAAAGATGCAATYGCTTCCTCTCTTTTTGCAGCTTCTTTCTAGATTGAAAACAATTCTACATTTAAATGCAACTAAATATTTCTAAATATAAAGTATATAATTGAAAATCCTTATTTTAATTCTCAAATGTAGCATCTGACTGAGCAACAATGAAAAGTGATCTACAGACAATGTTACAAACAATATGCAAAATTAGATATAAACAGAATTTTTTTCTTTCTTTGTTCATTTTTAATTTAAGGTTTATTTGATGCAATCAACTTCTGGAATGTGTTAAAGGATGTGAAATACAGGAAAATGAGAGATATTGCATCTCTCGAGATGTTTTTCTCAATTTTTTTCTGACACATGACAAGTTAAAACTTAACGGCTAAAGATCATGCCAAAGCCTTTACAAACAAACCTGAAAAATCAAACCAAGAAGTCCCCTTTTAATATACAGGCTAATTGTGTATAAAAACCTTAGCCGTATTCCCTTGCAACTGTAAGAATTAGGACACACCACTTACTGTTTCAGCTCCCCTTGTACTACTTGGGGAAAAAAAGTTGAAACCTTACAGTGGGAAGGTGACATAGATAGGCAGAAAGCAGTGCACACCCTCAGTCAAGAAACAAACAAAAAAATTCTTCCTAAAACACAACAAATACAATGTGGAAGTTACTTCTAAGAGATACAGTTTGTTTCTCTCAGAACAAGAATGTAAACAAACCTTTTCAATATTGTTCTTSAGATTTTCAGCTTGTTTCTTTTTATTTCTCTTTAATTCCAGTAGATGGACTCTTTTCTTTTCCAGCCAATCCTGAAAAATTCATTAGAAGACTTCTATACCTCAAAAATCTTTTGAAGCGGTAACTAAAATTCCATCAACACAACTGAATGTTATTAAAACAGCATTAATATAATGACCACCAAAATGACTCTTGCTTTTTCCACATGCTACTTAAGTAATTATCCCATATAAAAAAATAAGTTTTAATTATCAAATGCAGTATTTTGAGGATCTTCAATACACAAATATTTTAATCAAGTGTCAAAAGTTTTAAAATTAGTTACAAAGAAAAAGTTCGAGGATCTTTTTAAAAAAAATCAGCAGAACAAAAGCATAAAATGAAAAGATAAAAAAGAAAAATGGAATAATAAATCTTGCTACTTGGGACATAGGAATATTGTTTAGATTTGCTGCGTCTCCTGCTAATAACTACAAWTAAACAGAACTGGAAAGAGTGAGACTACAAGCATCCATAAAGTGCTGCAAGCTATCTGCAAAATGAGGGAGAAATTTTCATGGTTTATTTGTGTGTTTTACAAGGTGCTTAAAGATGAAGTGTCTTAAATTTAACTTCTCTTACCATTAAAAAATATGGAAACAAAACAATGGATTTCAGGTTCTATATTTTGTTTCAGAATTGTAACAGTATCACAAACACATTCCAACGTGGGCAGCATCTGCTAATTAAATGAATGCAAATTCATTTAAAATGAAAAAAAAAAAAATCGAAAAAGTAAAAGGTGTTGACTCCTTGAAGAAGTCCTTTCTGTGCATGGCTGGGTTCTGTTTCCCAATGGAGGGTTTACCTGGTACACAGCTGCCCGAATGCTGTCTGCTTTGCCAAGCTCTGCGCTGCACTTCTGCGAGCGCTTCCCTTCCAACACCTGTAACGTGCCCAAGTACTGAGGTGAAACAGCTCTAGATGAAGGAAGAGCTGTCATATTTTTCTTTAAGTGGGAAAAACACGAAGACCTATAAAGATACCAAGATAAATATAGTAAAATGATCTTTCCATTTGCCGTAGTTGATACCAAGCAGTTTTCCTTTTTACTMAGTATACACCAAAAATTACTGTGATTCTGTTTTTGCGGGCTCTTGATTGGGGACAGAGGAGAAGAGGGGGAGGAAAAAGTCTGTTTTTTTCTGAGGAGCTTATTGCTGGCAAAACGAACCACTGTACAACGCATTCACACCAAGATGGTTTACAAGTTCCTTATACTTTCACATATAAATCAGCTTAAAACCTCTAAAGGCACCAAGGGCTGCATTCAYGGGTGGATCCAGCAGCAAATGCCCATCACAGATTTGGAAAAGGCTTACTGTCTGATCTGATAGATGAAACGAGGAGGAGGGTTATCAAACATCTACTAGGATTTTTTCCTCATGCAGTTAAGAGGGTGTTAGCWGCCAAGAAAATGCTGGCAAAAAATAAGAGGAAAACACAATCTGGAGGGTCCTTGAATGCTTTTGAACTGTGGGCTGTGACACGCAGCATCTTTCTCTTACCTGCCAGATGAAGACATTTTCATGTTTTGTGGAACCGTCTCCTTAGTTTCACTTTGTTTCTAGAAATACAAAAGGAATAGGAATAAAAACATATATATATATATATATGTAATATATATGTAACAGGACTACATCAAGAGTACAGAGAATTTACAAGCTAATAAGGATGCTAAATGCACATACAAAACAGTCAGGCTAATACAGAAAGGATCCAATCCTCACCAAGGACTGTAATGTATGTATCTTTTTGGAAAAGCACTAAGAAACAAACCACTTCTGAACTAAAAAACACTATCTATAGTCTAGAAATATAAAGAAATAAAAAGAACCCCAAAAGTGGGTTTTTCCTTTGCTTAACAATATTAAGAATATTAAGAATGGAAAACACACACTTTTGGTTGTTTTGAGTATTTGTGCACTTTTCCTTGTGTAAAACTATTCACAGTTTAAAAGAGCATCAGCTCCAGAACCTGGAAATGGTCACCTGTACATGTACCAGAATTCTACACATGTAAAGTACAAACATCAAATTTGTTATACAGCTTTTTTTTTTTTTTTTTTTTTTTTTTTTTTTTTTGCGCATTTCTAGGACATTGTAGGATGTTGTAGACTTCTAGGATTAAGCAATGGTACAAATATATATGAAAGATACCTTGTTGAAGTCCTTTGAAGTCTTCTTCACCTCTGCATGTTCAGATTTATGATCCACTGACACGTCCTGCATTGTATCCGTTACTATTTGTCCTTCCACAATTTGCAAGTGTCTTTCTGAATTGTCATCTGCTGCATTCTCTAATTCCCTTGTTTCCTCATAGCCTGGGGTCTTTGTTTTGTCTGTCACAGAAGGGGATTTTGTTGCATTATCCTCCTTACTGATGCTGATATTCTCTCTCTGATCTTGATCTAAAAGCAGAAAAATAGATTAAGAGGACATGCTCACTTAGGGCATGTATAAATGATAATTTCATAATTCAAATGATAATTTCATAGTTTCTTAGCAGTGTTATGTTTGTACAAAAAATACATTGCAGAACTAAATATGATACATGATAGTGCATTTTCTCTTCTAAAATTCACTTCTTTCAAAGAACTATGTGGATTAAGACAGGAATTTTCACTTGTGGTATATTTAAGTTAAACACAAACACATTTTTTTAAATGTTACATAATCTAAGGCCAATACAAAGATAAAACTTGTTGTCTGCGTTATCTCCCAAACACAAACCTAGCACAAAAAGCAAAAGCCAAACAACATGCCAGTGTCAAAAACTATTCTGATATCTAGTGAATTACTACCAAAATTTGGAAGAATGAGGAACAAACTAATCTCATTATGTGACCGTATTTCTGATTCAGATATATTTGCTGTATGACAATTCATCTGAAATACAGTTTTTTATTGGTTTGATGTTTTGGGAGGGATAGTGGGATACAAAAGGAAAAAAAAAATATTGGGGTAACAAGATGTTGGGGTAGAGATTGAAACAAAAGCCTAACTCAATTTAAACATATGCTTCAAGTGGCCAGTTGCATACCACATAATACTACTTTAAAAACATTTTTATCTGATTTGAACTGCCATTAATATAGTGATCTAAATTTTTAAAACAGTTTGGACACAGACAAAGAAAGGCCATGACAACTGGTGACGATGTAAAAAAATTAACTTAGACTGACAATGATGAAAGTAATTTCAGGGTAACAGAATTCTGAATTTATGTGAATAATTTTCTATGTTCTGTTGATATATAAACTTCTCATATTTTACTTTACACCTACTAGGTTGAGCAATTTTATCTAGGTTGTAGGCATTAGAAAGAGAACAACTGTAATTAAGCAGCAACACTTAGTGCACAGGACACTGGCAACAGTTGATTTGCTGCTGACTACTAGTGATTTGGGGTATGAACTTCAAGGTGAAGTTTCACCTGCAAGTCGATTTAGCTCTGTTGCAAAAATAACAACAAATACTAACCTTCCCAGGGAGAGCTGAAAAGAAAAGCTACCTAGACCATGTAAGTACTCTTTTTGTATTTTTTGCCAGTTGGGGCTACCTATGTTTGAGCAGTTTGTATCAGTCTGGTTGGAATCACATGACCACTTCTGCACCACATCCAGGTGTATTTGTTACTCACTGCTTGATACACTCCACCAGATTTTATCAATATTTCTTGACCTTTCTATAGTAGTCTTAGCTCACATACAACTAGGCTGTATTTTACAGACCATACACAGGCCATTTCAGCAGAATTCTTATCCTTGGATCTGACAGTATAAATTATGTACCTGTTTCAATCCAACATGCTGCTAAACACTCACAGTACAATACCCCTAGCAAAGAGAAAAGGTGTCTAACTGGCCACTCCAACAGTTTTCATTCTGTGATCCATGGATTATTTCTAAGAAATCCTCCTTGAAAAGGAGGATTAAGAAAGTCATGTTCCATGGACACTGTCCCGAAGTCCAGATTTACATGTGTGCACATCTTCTAAACGAYGTTAATGATTCACAAATTCAGAAAAATACAAAAGATTCTAAGCTACTCCGTCTGTGTTAAACTTTGTGCCTGGGAAAGATGCAGGAAGAAGAGAAAGATTTGCCCRAGTCATGTCAACTGCAAAAGAGAAGCAAACACACATGATTGGTTTTAAGTCTCAGAGATACCTGACACAAGTAGAAACTTCTTGGACTTTAGTTTGTTTCTCTTCATTTCTGGGATGCTTTTAGGATCCAACTTCTAAATGCCTAGGATTATACTGTACTTGGAAATGACTGCAATAAATGGCCAGGTCCTTCTCATAAATACAGAGAAGCAACACAAGGATAATGAAATAGRGTAGAAAGGAAATTAAGAGCACCACTCTTGATTTCATGAGCACTTGTATTACAGTTTTAAATGATATTTAGGTAAAAATGGTAGCATTTATCTGGTGGTACATAACTAAGTTACACCTTTTATAGAAGGTGCATCTCCACACATAAGTAAATTGGAGTATCCAGATCTTTTATTGTGGGAAGTAAGTGAATGGAAAGTGGTGGAGAAGAACATTCTAGCCATACACCCTTAGTCTAGAAAGTCACAAATAAACAAATAAATAATTTGTGATAAATCAGAATTATTTAACTTAGCTTTAAAATATATATATATTTTTTTAGAACTAAGAGAATATATATAATTACTGTTTGACACTCAGAGTATGAATAAAACAAAATCAGTACACTACTAAACCAGTGAAAAATGTCACCGAGATGAAATCCTGTTTCCAGGAAAAAAACCAACACTCTCAAGAGGCTGCTTCTCTGCTTAGATCTCGCTTCCTCACCTTCCTTCTGTAATTCAGTCACTCTCAGTAGCAGCAGAACAGTTTCTCACAGGGCTCTGTGAGCAGGACAGGTTAGACCTCCACCTTCTAAACCTCCTGGCTAATAAGCCTCYGCCTCTTCTTGTTTTTTTATCTCTACTCTGTCAACAAAAAGATCAAGCTACTGTACAGCTTTCTACCTGCATTTTCCTCTAGGTATGCTCATCCACACAGAAATGTGCTCAGCGCCTGCTCAGTGCCACAGAGGTACTGCTTATTAAAGCCCAGTTGATACAAACCTCTTGCAGGAAACAGAGAACACTGTGCCAGTTTGAAGTTTTATCACAGTGCCCTTCAAGCGTACTCAGCCATGTAAAGCTGAATTATATAATTCCTGGGATGTTTACAGAGTAAAGAGTCCACAAGAATATTCCCACAGGTACAGAGATACTTCTATGCAGTAAGTCATAAGAACATCAAAGAAGCATACAAAGCAGATTAAGTATTTAAACTTTTTTTTCTGCAGCCCAAAGTCATGCAAGCAGTAACTAGCTATAAAAGACAGGTGTCCACAGAGCTTAACTGCACTTTCAAGTATCTATTGCTTTGCTGCCATCATGTGGAGAGAAAAACTAAGAGCAGTCAATAACACCACGCATTGCCAGTTTCAAAGCTGTGATCTTCTACCACCAGGAGTAACCACCTATAAACTTCTCTTAACATAGAACTAAAGACTTATAATGAAAATGGGGCAGAGGACAAATTCTGACCATGTCAGGAATCAGGTAAGAAATATGAAGCCCTATGACACTTCCAATTTGCATACCGTTCATTAGCAAAGCTGTTTTTTGCTTTCCATATTAAAAAAAAAATGGCCTTGGACATTCTTATAACGAAACATTAATGTTCTTTTCTATGTGACTATATACAAAAGACTGTGAGCAGTCTGTGAGCATTCATAAATATTTTGCTTATAGCTCATTGTATGATACACTATTACACAACTTCAACATTGTATCGGCCAAAAAGGTAGCCCAACTGGTCACAGAAAAGGGGTGCCTGCTTAAGGACTTTGCTGCTAAGGCTGTGGACAGTGTGTGCACATGGCTCCCTGTGCCATGCACATGAAGAGGAGGCAAATCTCTAGCCCTCCCACACTCTCCATAGAGATGGACTTCCACAGACATGGAGTGCAAGTTCCCAAACATCTACTTTCATCTCCTGAAAAGAAACCCTTAGTAGTTTATTTACACCTGCTCGGTTTCCATCCTCACTAGAAGATGAACAGAACATAGAAGAATATTAAACATACTCTCTGAAACTAAAGCAGATGCAGTTAAAAATGAAAACAGCACATATATCTACAACACTGCTTTTTRAATATTGTAATATGCCTAAGCAAACAGCAGCAAGAATATTTAAGTTCTTTCTTTTCACCTGATGCCGACACATTTCTCATTTTGCGCACCCTTTGCTTTGGTATGGGCTTCTTTTCTTCTTCATTCAGTGTAAGCCCTTCTGTCTCTCTCTGCAGTTCAGGCATGCCCAGATCATTACAGTGGCCACTCTCACTATTATCTTGTGATACTTCTTCTGCAGATGAACAGTCCTCCTCATTTTTTCTATCATCACCTTCATTTTGACTTTCTAAATACTCCTCTTCACTATCCCTTTTGTCATCCTGCATGTTTTTATTTTCCAAAATGATTGCTTCTTGAGCCTCCTCTTCATGAAACGGTAAGTCGGCAGCTTCATTTTCCAAAGGAACTGCTTTTTGTGAGGTATCTTCATCTGAGAGRGAACTCTCAAAAGCAATTGACTTCTTGGTGCTTTCAATATCTGAATTACTTTCAGGAAGGTCTTCCACAGTACCTGAAAACAGTACATTATGAATTTGTGTTTGAAATGAACAGAGGGGGAAAAAAAGGAGGTGGGGAGGCATAGAACCTGTTTCCTATATTTTAAAGGCATTTTTCTTATAATCCTCTCCGGACTTCCATCTCTGCACTTCACTTCTCTCCAAAAATCAGCAAACTACATACTGACTCTGCTTCCTCTCCTGTCATCTGTTTCTCTGGACCTAACACATAGTAAAGACTTCAAAACTTAATTAGTTAATTCTTATCTGTCATGCAACTGAAATCTCTGAAACATCTCTGAAGATTAAATAAAACTCTGTGTTTCCAGCACCATAAGTGGAAACAAGTTAAGAATAACAACGCCAGGCACATTCTGTTACCAAAATATTTGCCTGTCACCCTCCTTTTATATTTTGTTCCCTTCTGCCCCCTCTGAAATGGACAGAATAAGATGCAGATTGGATATGCTCTCCACCTCAATGCTACAGTCCATATATATTTTTTTTGAAAAAGTCATGATGATTGTTGAGTAACACAATACATGCTAGAGAGGCCTTCTTGTTTACAAAGGGAAATTAACCAACTTGTGAAGGATGCTTCAGGTATTGTGAATAAAAAGTAGGTATTACACAGAGGAAGTCCTTTTAAAAACATATTATAGTACTTTAGAATTCATATTTTCCTTAGTATGCAAGACCATACTAAGAAGGCAGCAAGCCACGTGGCCAATCTTATTAGAATAGATGTTAACATTACCAGACATTTAATACATCATTACCCAGGAAAAACTGCCAGCTCAAACATSTTCCTAAGGGTCTGTATGCACTGCCCAGCAGGCATGCTCTGCAGCTTGTCTTGCAGCCCAAATTCCCTTGATCACCCAGATTTGGGAAGTAATTAAACAGCTGCCTGGCTTTCTGTCTGCCCACACGAAGGGAAGCTCTTTTACAGTACCGTGAACTCCTGTCTCCTCTAGGTGTAGAACTCACACACAGCTACGGAACAAAACGGGGGATCACATCTGTGTAGGGCAGCACAGTAGGTGTCTGGTCTACCCGATGGGCACCACTACTGAGGCCATGGGGAAATCAGCTACCARCTTGGAAGGACACAGCCGAATGAGTGATTTAAAAATGAAAATTGTGTTAAAATGAAATCGTGTTAAATCACGTGGGTTCACAAAGATCCGTTGTGAACTACTGGCCAGCTAAGAAAGGGAAGAACATGGGGAAAATATTTAATTCTGTCTTACTATTTAACATGCCATCATCGTCGCTCTCGAAGTCATCCGAGTACTCGGCTGCTTGCTGTCTTGCTGCATGAGCAGTAATTGTATCCTGCAGCTCCTCCTGAAATRTTTTCACAAATAACTCTGACACAGAAGGAAAGATTCACTTCTTCGAATTAAGCACTAATTCCTCCCTCTGACAGATAAATAAGTAACACTGAGCAACAGAGATTAACACACTTAACTGGAAAAAAAGTAAAAAAAGTAAAATATCAGGCCAATTCTTAAAAGGAGGTAAAATAAAGTGTTTTCACGCTGTCCTTGTCACTGAAATTTTGATCCATTAGAAATGCCTGTGCATATTCATTTTTATCTATTTTTTCCCATATGGAACATATCTTACAGATTCCTCTTCCATTCGGGGAACGGCCACAAGTTGGTCATTGAAGTTGGTCAATGCTAGTACTTTGGCCTGAGCAACCACAGCTACCTTCGGATATATATACACACATATATACATATCTATATATAACTTAGTTAAATTTATTAACTTATTATTAACATGCATATATATAAAACTTTGGAGTACCCTGCGGAACAAGCAATTTGTGGTGCCTGCATCCAAGAACTACTGGTTCCAGCCTTCTGCAAGTGGCTCAGCCTCCCGGTGTGGGAAGCACCTATTCCGCGGTCCGAAGGGTTTCCCGGCACCCAGCACTGCCGCAGGGCGCCTGAATCCCACGAGCACTCTCCATATTCCGCGCTCCCTCCTCCAGGGCACAGCTGGAGACTAAAGGGCTGTCACATTGATAACGATTGTAGCTACCTGGGCCTCTCCAGGCGGAGCGAGGCACGCCKGGCCTCCCCTGCCAGACGCCCTTAGCTGTGAAAAGGTCCGGAGCTCCCACACACGCTACTAAAACACGCAGAAAACGCACAGTAAAGCGCATGTCTTTTTTTTCCATTAGCATCCAGGTGAACAGAAAGGCAGTCGCTGCCGCCTTCCCGTCGCGCGGGGATGTCCCGTTCCGTCCCGGCCCGTCCCGTCCCGGCCGCGGTCGCCGCCAGCCCCGCGCCCCAGGCCCGCTCACCTCGGCCGCGCGCCGCCCGCCGCCCGACATGGCGGCCGCCCCGGGGCCGCCGCGCCCGTTGCCCGGCGACGCRGGGCGCCGCGTGGCGCACTTGGGAATAGCGCGGGCCGAGCCCGGGGAGCCTCCCTTTTCCCTCTGTTTCTTTAACCTCCGGGGAGCCCGGAGCCCCTTCCTTTCGTTCTTATCTATTTATTTATCTATCTATTTATTTACTTAGTTATTTATTGATGCACAGTGCATGCAAAGGCCACAGGKGCCTTTGATGATAAGGGAGACTGAGTCACTGATCGATGACCTGTTTTTTGGTTTTTGTTTTAATTTCCGTATCATCATAAGCACACACACACAATATTTACATGTACAAACCTTCAGTTTGCATCTTTTCATCTTTTGGGGGAATGTGAAATCGGACACATCTGTTCAGAATTTCAGAAGTAATAAATAAGCATTCATTCATTAATTCGTTCAAATGCATTCAAAATGCATTCATTAATTCGTTCTTTGTAACAATGTGGGCAGTGTCTATTGAAGACCAAATTATGCCAATGTCAGATATATCAGAGATCCCAATTATTTGAACTCCAGAAGGTGGCAGAAAAGCAATTCAAAAAAAAAAAAAAAAAAAAAAAAAAAAAAAAAAATCAAAAGTCTACTTCGTGCTGCCTTCTTTTTTCCTTGGGTTTTTGTTTGAATATTTTATTTGTTTAGACCAGTTTTCCAACTTTGCGTGAGCTAAATAGATGGACGACACTTTGCTTTCAAATATTAAAATATTATTTATGTGACTCAGGGAATGGGGTCTACAATCAAACGCAYAGTTAAGTATAGCTATTTAATGTTGGCAGTGGGTGAAAAGACTTCAATAATGAAGAACTCAGAACATGTGAAGATGTTTGTGGAACACATGAGCATGAGGTCTGCATCCTACAACCTTACCTCAAGCAAAAAAAATCCACACAGATCCACTGAGGAGAACGGGATTTCTGCCTAAATAARAATTTAAGGGTTTGAATATAGATATAAAGTTTTTTTTTAAATGGCTTGTTTAAGAGAAATTTCTGAAAGCTTATTGAGAGCAAAAAGCAGAAGATTTTATGGCATCAAGATGAACATTGATATTGGCTTCTTAATTAATGTAAGTGAACTTATCACATGTGAGAATTGGGTAGTAGCTTGAGACTCCATCTGTCTGGTACTGTACTAAAGAAATATGCATTTGAAAGTAAAGATGGATTTTCTGTCCCAAGCAGACAGAGAACATTGCAAAAAATACTCTTAATCATCCCAGCAAACATATTAATGTGGCTAAAATAATCTGAGAAAGTAATGATTAATTCTTTTTGCCCAAACATCTATTAGTTTTTACCATGTCCAGAAGATTAAAAAAAAAAAAAAAAAACTAATATAAGATAAAAAGAAGGTTATGGTGACAAACATCACAATACAACATAATTCAAATCTGCAAAATGCACATTGCAGATATGATGAGTTTTTCAGATGGCTGGCTCATATGCATGTGAATGACTTTCAGAAGTAGTTTATTTTATTTATGTGGATAGAGATTGTAAGATTGGGTTCAGAATTTCCTCTGATCCTGTCTCGTATCTATCTCTCTCATCCTCTTACTCCTGGATCTTCATTTTCTGATTTGCAAGTAGTTAAGGAAGATCCTGGCAGGATAAGGAGATATATAAGCGTCACTTAGTAGATTGCTGCTGCAAGGCACACCTTTAGGTTCAGAGCACCGGGGAAGCTGAGTTTGATGAATTTAATTTATACAAGAGTAAACACAGTTGTTGAAGGCACAGGCTGCAAAACTGGGGCAAAGGAAGGGAGCGACTAAGACAAATAAGTCCCTGACAAGTGAATTTATACAGCACTTTATCAAGCACATGCATTGTTGACTGATTAATTTATTCCCAAGTATTAGACCTAGAAGCAGTAGATGGAGATAGATATCAGAAATAAAAATTGCTGCTGTGTTTTTTATAGTC